ACATTCATGCATAGGTACATACAGTGTGGCCATAAAGTTGGTGTGCAGTTTAAAATAGCTGTTTTAAATTGCATGTGAACTTTATGGACAATGTGTGTGTGTGTGTGTGTGTTTTAGAGATAAGGTCTCGGCTGGGTGTGGAGACTTAGACCGTGTTTCCCCGAAAATAAGATACTGTGTTATATTTATTTTTTCTCAAGAAGACAGACTAGGGCTTATTTTCAGGGGATTTTTTTGTTGTTGTTGTTTTATTTTTTTGCAGTTTTTGGCTGGGACTGGGTTTGAACTTGCCCTCTAGCATATGGGCCCAGCTTCCTACTCCTTTGAGCCACAGGCGCCACCCAGGATGCCTTATTTTTATTAAGTAACAATCTGCATTCATTCACATACAGTTAAGTTACCTTCTTCTGGAACCTGACAGGGGGAGCCAACCTTGTTGGTGGGACTGGCTCTAGTGATGCGTGAACTCCTTTCCCCTAGCCGTTCACACGTGCGCAATAGGATGCCTGCGACTACGGTCGTGCACCTGTGCAAGTGCAAATGGCTCGAAGAAAGGAGCTGTAGCAGATAAAAGGTATTCCAGTCTTCCTTACCACTCTGCGCCAAAATGCATGGTGTTGCCATACAGATACACTGCATAGCCATGCCCATCACTAGGTCTCATTATTGCGGTAGGGCTTATAGTTAACAAATGAAATCTTGCTAGGGCTTATTTTGGGGGTAGGTCTTATTTTCGGGGAAACACAGTAGCTGTAAGCATTCTGGGAGGCCAAGGCGGATGGATTGCCCTGAGCTCACAGGTTCGAGACCAGCCTGAGCAAGAGCAAGACCTCATCTCTGAAAATAGCCAGGCTTGTGGTGGGCACTTGTAGTCCCAGCTACTCAGGAGGCCGAGGTAAGAGAATCACTTGAGCCCAAGAGTTTGAGGTTGCTATGAGCTATTATACCATGGCACTCTACCGAGGGTGACCAAAAAAAACCAGACTAGAGATAGAAACTCACTGTGTTGCCCAGGCTGGCCTGAACTCCTGGCCTCCCAACTGCTGAGATTTCAGGTATAAGTCACCACACACAGTCTTGTTACATTTTTATATACTAGAAAAATTGTGTTGGAAATCTCTCAATGTTTTATATGTATAACTGCCAGTTCTTATATTATCAGAAGTAATTAATGAAAGTGTTTCTTATCATTCTTCCAGGGGGACCTATGATATTTTGGTAACAAAAGATAATCAAACCCGTTGTGTTGGTCAGTATGACAACCGGGGCAGTTTTGGAGAACTAGCTCTGATGTACAACACCCCAAGAGCTGCTACCATTGTTGCCACTTCAGAAGGCTCTGTTTGGGGACTGGTGAGTGAGAGAAATGATTCTCTTTGTGTCGCACAGTCTTATTTACCCTTACTTCTGGGTTTCTTGTCTTTGGGCAAGAATAGTTGGTTTTCTACTATATAGCTAGTTATCTGAAAGAAAATGTGGAAATGTATCTTTCCTTTCCTCTAAAATGATTTGTCAACGAACGATTTACTGTAAGTTACAGGGGCAAGGCTGAGTCTTTTGACCTTATATTATACAGTTTGTATTACATTTTCTGATCCTGTTTTTATCAGACAAATAGAGAGGAGAGAACAAGAAGTAGCCTAGGGCTCAACACCTGTAGCTCAAATAGCTAAGGCACCAGCCACATACACCAGAGCTGGCAGATTCGAATCCAGCCTGGTCCTGCCAAACAAGAATGACAACTACAACCAAAAAATAGCCAGGCGTCGTGGCGGGCACCTGTGGTCCCACCTACTTGGGAGGCTGAGGCAAGAGAATTGCTTAAGCCCAGGAGTTGGAGGTTGCTGTGAGCTGTGA